GTTACGTGGAGGGAGCTTTCTCCTCCTTCGGGGGAGGCTCTTGCCTTCCAGACGGGCTTAAAAGGGCCCGCTCTGGAAGATAGAGGAGAGTTTTGAGATAGTCATTAGAGAGTTGAGGTAGTCCTTGAGAGAGTTGAGACCGAGAGTTGTGATTGCGAGAGTTACGCGTTATTGAGAATCGAATAGAAAATACAGACCGCAGTGAATTTGAGTATTCCGAGGTACTCTCCAGCGAGTAGAGAGTGTGTGACTCTACAAATATCTCGAAAACAATCGAGTAGTTGCTGTCATAACGATATATTTTCTTGAACTGGATGACTAAATCTACAATCCTGCAAAGCTTCAACTGAATCAATGACCCCAAGGACTAGCACTCTCCTTGTGAGAGAAGGCATCCACCACATCAATCCAAGGCTGCCTTCGTATACAGTTATAAATAAAAGAGGTAGGAAAAAGAAGTTTTTGGAAATCTCGGAATTATTTATACAATATTAGAAATTGGATAATACTACAATCTTGTTTGAGGATCCTTTTACAAAGCAATTTATACAGGGTGTTTCTAGCAACTGGACCCAGTTATAGTCTCAAAATGATATAAGATAGAAAAGACTCTTATTAGGCAGAATTAAATAACATTGAATGATATGTAACCTAATGTATGTTATTATTCCAAGAATGTTGACATTTTGCAGATTTCAAGGTCACATTTACTTTTTTGAATAGGCCTGCTTTTTATATAAAAACACATAGCAGATATTAACAGATGTATCCTTTTATTCCCTATAATAAAAGAATTGGGGTATCTGTGTTGAAAATTAATTATTTGATTAATTAAATTAACAAAATCTTTAGTGAGATATTATTTAAAAATTTCTCTAAATTGCTGAAGTAATTTCTGTATAAATAAATAGGAAAATAAACATTGAAGTATACATTTTCTAAGTAACTTCTAATATCTAAATTAACAAATTAATTAAATTCTCCATCTATTTATCCTAACACTTCTCTGTACAAAATTAAAAAATGCTTAAGCACTCTAAGCGTATTTTTTCAATGTAATTATGTCTTATAAATTCTCGTCTATCTTCTAGCCTTCCAGAGTTATAGTCCAGTGTTACGAGTCCAGTTCTGGTTATAGTTATGGGTCCAGTTGCGTGAAACAGCCTGTATATAATATAATAACACAAAACGATAGACTATCTCAGGAAGGAATAAAATTACTAGGAACATGTTCCCGTATTGAACAAAAATTGTTTAATACAAACACTGTTTAGCGTAAAAGAACGAATAGTTAAGCCTTGGAATGTCGTGCCGGTATTTTATTCGTTCCTTGGTTAGAATAGACCCAGAAGACCGTAAGGGTCTTCTGGCAACCAGATTCTAATTGCTGTTTTAGTTCAAGTTCCGTGTCCTTTCTCTCTTCATTTTCAATGCATTTTCAAACAATTCTTTATTTCGCTCGGGTCACCGGACACGAGGCTTCCTTTAGCCATTAATGTTAGAAAGCAGGCAACAGCGCTTAGGATTTGGCTGACAATAGGCCTGCAAAGAAAGGGACCAGGCCATGTGCGATGTCGCGACTTTCGGAGCCATAAAGTAACGAGTCCTTCAGGAAGGATCACGAATGCGCGGGTGGCCCACCAGCAACCCCCTTTGAGGGAGAGGCTTCCTCCACCGGCAGACCTGGTCGCGGAAGACGGTCCTCCCTTCTTTGGGGGCATCTGATTCGCGGACCGAGGGCCCACCCTCGGTCCTGTCAACCACCAATGGGAAAACCGATTTCCCTTTGGAAACCATGGGCTCCGAAAGATCGTGCATCGCACAAGTTAGTTAGGTCAGTACCAGTCAGTCAGCAAATAACATTCGAAGAGTTCAGAAGAGTTAACCGAAACAATTACAAAATATACAGTCCACTAAAAACACAAGTTCCTCAAGAGATTTGGTTCGTCGTTAACCGTCGCCAATTGCGGACGACCTATTGACGACATACAGTACTCCTGTAAAAGTAGCATTGGATATAATGAAATTCAATTTCTTAAATGAAATTCCGAGTCCTATTTATCCACATTGTATACCAGTGTTCTTGATACGAATGTACTGACCTACCGCATGATTTCATTCCATTAAGTGGAATGACATAATTTAGATTTATAGGCCATAGCTGAAACGACATCGTTTGATATGGCTAGACGATGCAGTCATTTAGGGTTCACTCAGCGATCTGCGTTGTTCTAACTCGCATGGATCTAATTTATACGATTCGACTGAATGGCATGATGTCATATGGTAAGTTATCGTATTGGCCTCAGCAAACGTCAGCATAAAGGAGAACTATAGAACTGCAGCGATCAAGTTCTCTCCCTCGACAATAGACGGATTCCTATTTTAACCCTTTGGTCTACAACCACGAGTGAGACTCGTGGTAAGAAATTTGTGCCATAAGCGAAAACCACGAGTCTGACTCGTGGTGAGGAATTTGCACCATTATCAATATGCAGGAGTCGAAGTCGTAGTACTTCGTTGCGCCAAAATATACATATGATAAGAAGTATAGATTTTGAACAAGTTGGGACTAAAATAACTAAATAAATAGTAATATATTCACATAAAGTATTCTCAGATATTACTATATACTTTACATTATATTATACAAAATTTTATACATTTTAACTAATATTTATCTCACAAACTTGAATAATGCTTTAGAGTGCGACATCTAGTAAAGCATACTCTTTTGTGCAATGTTGTTTGGTACCAGATTGAAAATGTAAATGATTTTCAAACTATTTCCGTACAAATTTGCACATATATTTCGAAATAACAAAATGTACAACAATAAAACACTTTATAAGGTAAACGATCCTCACAGAGCTACCCATGTAGCTATACTGACTGATTGTTTATACACTCTTGGAATGTCAATGTTCAGTTATTTTGCTTATCATTTGTCACAAGAACGTGCAAGGCTTTACTACCCTAGTAACGTAACAAAAATATTTGTCTCTGGTTGCCTAAGTCATAGATCCAATCGAAGAAAGCTGATGTCACCGACCAAATTTCCGATAACACTCAGAATCAACAGTAACCAAAAATAGCCGCATGGGAACATGGGAAAGACAAACGTACAGAAGCTGAATCATGGATCACGCGTCTAATGGTGACAACCTAGAACTAGTCAAATAACAAACAGTCCCGAAGATAAGGACTGTGCCCTAAGTCAAAGATCCTACTAGAGAGGGGGCCCAACCCAATATAAAGATACCGTCTTTAGCAGAACAAGGTAGTCTGGAAATCATCATCACCTGGTTCTGCCCGTCTATTCTGCGCGTAATCTAATTATAACTTTGTAGTCTGTTAACCGGAAATAAAGAGAGGTACGATTGAGTTCGCTCAATCGGCTCAAGTTTCTTTTTTATTTTCGTTTCAAATCACTTTCCGTGACACTGAAAACGAGATATCTCCCGTACGCAATGTCTTAAGTAAGGATGCAAGGGCGTGAGGCAGGCAGAAGAGAGTTGTTGAGAATAGAACAGAGTTGAGAACTGAGTGGAGAAGAGTGTCAGAAGAGCTTTGAGTTGAGACGTGTGAGAAACTTAGTGTGATATTTTAATTAAATAAAACCTATTTTGTTAGAAAAAGAGAGTTACTGTTTGTTAGACGCGCAGATCTCTGTCTGCATAGGATTAATATAGCCAAGAATCCTACAATACCGTCCAAAATCATGATATCCACAGAAGCCACTATTCGTGAGGTACTATTCAAATTGATGCCTTCTACGGAAGCCACTATAGTGGCTAAAAGGTTAAAACGACGCAATAGTATGCGAGATATCGAAATAAGATACTTCCACGTGTTAATTATTACACAAATTCTTATTTCCCGTTTAAAAGATAACGTCAAATTTATAACAGAAAATCTGTGAATTTCAACTTGTAGCGTCCTATTTATCGAATCCCTTCGAAGTCCTAGAACGCTTATCACGCGCCAAATTAATATTGCGTGACTAGTTGTAATAATAAGGATCCCGAAGTGTGTGTTGATAAAAGAAAGCGTTTATTTATAGAAAAGTACAGAATAGTTATAATGGAGCCGTTGAACAGAGTACCGTTTCGAACACGCGTTTATACGTGTAAGTAAGATGTTGCAAGGATCGGTGTCGAAGACGAACTGATTTCTCGAATTTGATCTATGTCGTGTCTCGTCGAGTCCTGTCCGGTGTTTTCTCCAGTTTAGTTCTGATTGGGCAAAATAAACGCTGGTGGTGGAAAAGTAAGGAGTTTTAATTGGACAGAGGGTGTGACGGAAGGACCTTTGGCTAAGGAGTAGGAAACTGTCAAGGAGCCGATTTTTGATGGTCAATGACGTGATTTATAAGTGGTGTCCGTCCGTCGCTTGTTGGGTCTGTCACACGTGGGTCCCATCTGTCGAGTCTGGTACTTGTAAAAATTCCTAAACTTTCGCCTTTACCTTTACAACTTAATCCGCTAGAACAGCGGTGAGGCACATCTATCCTCCAGAATTGCAGTCGCGATATAAAATATATCGTAAACCGTTAGGTCTGTTAAAAGTGTAAGCCTTAGAATAAAAATCATGTTATAAACACGCTCTCTGGGACGGAACACAACTCTTCTTTAGCTAAAAAAGTCCTCGAGTGCCAAGGGTAAGTGCCATCTAAATATTTGACAGTAGCCTATCTATTATATTCATCTACATTCGAACTACCGATGGCTTAAACTGCGCGAATATTAATCCCTATTAACAGCGCGCACTACAGAAAGCTACCCCTTGACGCAGAAGCCAATAGCCAGAAGTGTTTGCATTAGGGGACACACGGGTAAAACACACTAGCCAGCGCTTCTCTACCGCACAGGGTGGTACATAAAGTGGGAAGCTCTCCAAGCTTCGAAGCATAGCTTGGACACGGTGCTAATTTAAGCTATGAGCACCTGGAACACAGACACACGTCTTCATCCCAAAGCAATTATCTGTTTCCAACTAACCTGCAGCAGCTTGGTGTCGCCCTGGTGATGGTGATGATGTTGTTGCTGCTGTTGCTGCTGCTGATGATGCTGCTGAGCTTGCTGGGCTGCGCGCTGAGGCGACACCTGCCACGGACCCTGACCAGTCTGCGTTTCCTCCTCGCTGCAAGCTTCCTCTTTGCCAATGGCGTTGCCGAATCCTGGCAAATGAGCTGGCACGTTCTGGTACGCGATCACCTCGTTCTGAAGCGTGTTCCTCACCAACAGATTGCTAGCCTCCTGGTAATTCGTCTCGTTCCCGTTCGGCAAGTGGCTCTCCTCTGATAACGAGTTCACAGTGCTGCTCACGCTCAGACGTGGTCCCTTCAAGATTCCTCGTTTTGGAGGTTTCGGTGGCAGGGGTGGCAGGTTCTTTCCTGACTGACCAGACACGTTGGTCGGGGCTGCCGAGGACGTGGTGGTCGTGATAGTCAGCGAGGTCAGGGAGGTCTCCGAAGAGTCGCTCTGAGTTAGACCATCAGGCGTTCTGGTGGTCCAGTTGTTGCCGGTACGGACACTTTGTCCCGAGCTCGACGAGTTTTGAGAGTTCTCCAGTAGATCACGGTCCAGGTAGGCGAAAAACGACGCACTGTAGTCTGCGGTGATACCACTAGGCAATTTTTCCTTCTCTTTCCGGCGACCAGGGATCTTCAACGACCTCCGCACCTGCAAACCAAACGGATATACTCGATTAAGTTTTATCTAGAAGGTTGTCCGTAGGAATCATTCGCGAATAGACTGACTATGGATTTGTGGTAGTATTAGAATTGAGCCGATGACTAAGTGAACGAAAGTGGACTAAATTGCGTAGTGAGGTTTTTTCTCGTGAAACCTAGTTCCTGGGATAGGTTCGTGGTAGAAATACATGAAACACGTGCATCTAGAAGTGGTTTCATTTAGAATTTGTAGTGAAAGTATTAAACATATAAACTTAGCGTGGTATTGGCGTAAATTTGATGTCACAATATTAGGTACAGAATTTTATGTCAAAATCAACGTGTAATTGACGAACAGGTGAATACGATTATGTTAAATCGCTTATTGAATGGGTAATGTAGTACATAGTTCTATAACCTTAAGGCTAATTCTTATGCAGGTGTTTAATCATTTAAGCTATCAATAAACTCACAGACTCGTGTGCCAGAACGGTCCAGTGTTTTTGTGACAATTGTCTGACGACGTGTATACCACGTCGTTGGCGATTCTGCGACAAAAGCATTACGACGTGCGTGGCACAAGTGATTAAGGAGATATTCTTGTAATCCGGATTAAAAAAATCGATTTTTTGTTTGCTTTTATGTTTTCTCAAAATTTACGCTTTCGAAAATATCCGTGTAAAAGGATTTGTTCGAATTCGTAAAATCAGCGAAGTTATAGATGTTTAAAGTGCGATGTACAGCCATTGTACAACGGATTACGAAAACTTCAAACGCGTTTTTCTCGAAACCGTATTTTTTGAACTGGCTGACGGAATACCTTGCGTTTTAGTTGACCGATTGACTCGAAATTTGAAGGAGATCTTCACTGAATGTACCTTTATCGTGTGAGCTACGGATTTCAAAATCTGATGCTTTTTTTATTTTTGTTTACAACACAAAGGACAAAAAACACGAGGAAAATCGATATTTAAACTTCGAAATGCCGCCATTTTTTTAATTTTCGAAATTTCGCTGTTTTGGTAATTCATGGTATAGTCGTGTTTATACTAATTAAAATACATTTCGGTTTTTTCGTTTCCGATAACCAGATGATCCGGAATCATGTCAACCATTCGAGCCCATTTTTTAAATCATGATTTACCTAAGGCTATATAATTTCCACAATTGTCATTAATTTCGTTAAAAAAAAGATTGTAAATATTCTCTAACTATAAATAAATCTGAGTGCGGAAACTGCATGTGAATGAAAAAATAAATCGAAAATATTACATCGTATTAACCCTGTCACGAGTACGGTCGTAAATGTACAGTGTAAAAATTAGTAAAAGCACAATATTGTGCAAACAGTATAACGTAGTAAGAACAAAACTCCGAAATTGTATGAATAAAATTGAAAAATAATTCAACGATACATATGACGTTTACGATAAACATTTATCGCAGATATGAGCCGTGGTGGCGCTAGTGAGTTAACGCGCTGAGCGCTATGTCAGCCGCTAACTGGCACTAAACTTTCTACTCGGTGACTGACAGTATGCTTTTCGTGCAGGGCGATAGTGTATGTTGATTGACAATACAAAATTGAGAAAACTACTATTTTACAATTACTATTAAAATTACTATTAAAATTAAAATTATAACTAAAAATAACTAAATTAACTAATTAACTAAAATTGTAACTAAATTATAACTATTAAAATTAAGAAAACTTCTATTAATAAATTTTTAGTAATTTCGAGATCATATCACGAATGAAAAGAAAATATCTGAAAATATCAAGAAAATATCTGATACAGGTTAAAGGGTAAGCAAGACGAAAGAAGCTTGGCGCTTGACGTGTTAAATGAAAAGTCGCCTTAAGACTGCCGAAACGTTTACTCGTGAAAGGGTTAAACGAAAGAGAAAAAAAATGTAAACAACCCCATACAAAAAAATCGAGAAGAGATTCTATCTTCGATGATATTCTAACAGGCCAGTGACGAGGAAAGACTGATTTCCTCGACAAACGTAACGGAGATCTCACGAACGATAACGTCAAATGCCTCACCGTGTGTAAAGCCTACACGAAAATTAATTAACAACGATGCAACCTGGGAGATTTGTATGAAGATCATGAAGAAAATCTACCGTTAAGTTTTCGCCTTTACTTCAGTCAAGGGAGAACAGAACGACGAGGAAATGCAAGGGAAGGAGGAGTAGGTGGAAGAGACACGAGTATCCGTTATCCAGATTTAATGATTCGAAGGGTTGCAACGTTCAACGAATGAAAACGTTCTGGTATATCATATAGCAGCAACTGTGATTTTATTATAATAATTCCTTGAAGAAAACGGTACTCGCGTTTATATCGTGTTATCCAAGTCTTTTATACAGATAATTATGTGTGAATGAAACTGACAAATACCTTGAAATACGTGTCTCTGTGACTAAAATTGAAGTATATTTTGAAAATAAAAAATATTTTTATGATTAAAACTAAAGTATATTTTCAGGTCAATGTGTTTATTGTTAAAACTAAAGTATATTTTGAAGTTAATGTTTTTATAAGTAAAACTAAAGTGTATTTTGAGGTTAATGTTTTTATGATTAAAACTGAAATATACTTATTTTAAACAAATAAATGTTTGCATAGACGAGACAACAATTTTATCAGCTTCCTTTTATAGAAAATGAAAATACGTTTAGCATAATTGAATTATAAATAAAGCTGGATAGAATTTATTTGAAATGATAATTTAAAAATAATAATTATTTCAAATATCGTTAATTATTATTTGGTAAGTAATGTATTCCAATCAATACTTATAGTATTTAATTAAATAATAAGTTAAATAAGTGCTTTATCTAGTTAATTAAACAATAAATTGAAGAATTGATTGTTTGAGAAAAAAAGTAATAAATAATTTAATATTTATTAAATTTATTAAAATGCTTTTTAATAAAACCAATAGATAACATATTTCAAATAACATTTCTTTTTTAATCACCAGATATAGTAAGACCCAAAATGATATTTCTCTTGTTAGAAGCACTAAATGTAAATACTTTCATGGAAAATTATATAAGTAACAGTGACTTGCAAGATGTGACGAATATAATGAATCATAATAATGCAATGAATAATGCATTTAGCAATAAAATTACATAAAATGTTGTAATTTATGTTTTAAATTTCCTTTAAAACATTGGTCAACGATGCTTGATATTCAGGCAAAATGCTAAAAAACTTCCAAGAAGGAAGTAAATCCTAAATCCAGAATATATTTCCTTCCTCAAGCACATAAGAATTTTGTGGTGAAATTTTTCCTGTTTAAGAACTGCTTTTGGTTTCCTTTTTCCTTTTTCCGTTCTCAAGGTGAAAGGCAAAGTTTTGTATGGACATCAATAATATTATCAGAAACTATAGAAAAGAAGTTTGCTCTTCACATAAACTTAACTACCAACTTGATTCGTAAATCAAGAGTATTCTAATTAAATTGACATTGTTCCCTTGGACATTTCATAGAATATTCTATTGCTTCAACATTTTGCGTATAACAGTATGGCTAAGGATAGAAAGACACAATGGTTAAAATCTAAACTTGCAACGCACATTTCAATTACTTATAGACCAAATTAATTTAATTAATAAAGACTTAGAGATTACTAGAATAATAAAGACACAATTATTAACACTTGGGGTAAGTAGTCAAAAACACAATTGACACCTTTTTTGATATCCTTAAACAACACTAAATTGTCATAAAGTTCTGTAACTGAATAATGCTCTATTTTCATTGACCAGAAGATATTTAACAGGATATGTTGCCTCAACATTCTGTACAATGTAAGAGTATTAATAAGAACAGGAAGAGGAATTAGTTAAAGTCAAGACATGGACACACATTATAATTAAGTACAAACCAGTCTTAGATATCATTAAAATAATGACATATTTATTAACACTTAGCATAATTGATGAAGGACAAGATTATCAGAAGGATATCATTTTTGGACATTCTCTGGATAATCCTAACTTTAAATGCGATTCTTTGCCAAAGCAATCTATTGACTAGAGAACATTTCATAATACTTCAAAGTTTTATATGGAAGAACATGGATAACATCAAGATAGATCACTAGAATCAGTCAAAGTCAAGACTTGGTTATTATCTGTATCCAAGTTGAAAATTGATATTATAAGATTAGTAGAACTTGAATATTAGAACAACACAGAAAAATGATCAGAACTTAGACATTATTATATTAAGAAAATGATTATTTGCATATTATTAATAAACTCATATTTTCTTATCTTCCCAACAGACTGAACATTGTGAACATTTATATTTCAAATTTCATTTTTCACTCGCATTGTAATTAATTATAAGAAACATTGTGTTTGTACGTAATGAAATTAACATATGCTATGTAATCAACTTCATGAACTTACAATCAGACATTATCTGCAAATGATCTTGCAAATTATTTGCAAATTATCCTATTTCGCTATCATTGAATCCAACTATCTCACATACATTGCACTTCCATTAACAAAATTCTGTCTTAAAAATTGTACAAAGAATTTATACAAATTAAAAAAAAGAAAAATGTATACAAAAGATTGACAAAAAATTTTGTACAAACTTAAATACAAAAAATTTATACAAAATGTAATATGCAATAAAAATTTTGTACAAAATTTTATATACAGTAAAAATTTATACAAAAGATTTGTACAAAATTTTATCAAACATTTATATTAAAAAGTTCTCTCAGTTCACATTGCTACAGTTCAATAATTCTATATTTGTCCAAATGCATCCACGTTTTAAATTTCGCTACTTAACATGACCATTCAAAAATAACATAAAATCATTTTCTTCTATTCTATGATTTATATATTCTCGTGAAAAAGGCTGAATCTTGCGTTCACCTTGATATAGTTTTAAGGAGGTGTTAAAAACACATTCAATCACGATAAGTAAATAGCTAGTTGTTGTTTATGCGTGCACATTACAAGATATT